GATTGTATAAAGGGGGTGGGGGGCTCAGAGTCATAGTCTGAGAAGCTGCTTGCTGCTGCTGCTGCTGCTGCTGCTGCTGCTGCTGCTTTTGTTCTTGTTGTTGCTGCTGCTGCTGGTGTTGTTGCTGCTGCTGGTGTTGCTGCTGCTGCTGATGAGCTGCTCCTTGGGGCTGCGTCTGCTGCTAGCATTGGTTTGTATACAGTACGCTGCAGCAAAAAAAAATAAAAAAAAATAAAATAAAATAAAATAAAAAAATAAATGAAGAAGAAACAGCTGCTTGTTGATATACACACCGAACTAAATTAAAAAAACAAATAAAATAAAATAAATAAACAAAATAAATAAACAAAATAAATAAACAAAAGAAATACAGAACGTCTGCTGCACTAAGAAGACATACAGAGAAGCCATCAGCACGCACGGGATGCGTGAGGGGAGGGAGAACCTTCAAGCTGCTGCTGCTGCTGCTGCTGCTGCTGTTGTTTCTGCTGCTGCTGCTGCTGCTGCTGCAGTTGTTTCTGCTGCTGCTGCTGCTGCTGCTGCTGCTGCTGCTGGTGAAGAAAGGCTTGTGCACTGCGGCGCCTGCTGCTGGCTGTCTGTTTGTATTTTTGATGAGCTGCAGGAAACACAGAAGCACAGAGAGCAGCGGGAGAAGGAGAAGACGATGAGGTGTATGCATGAGTATAAACTGAAGCGAATGTGGAGATAGACAGAAAAAAAAAAAGAAAAAAGAAGAACAGTATCAGCAAGGAGAGAGAAGCAGCGGGGGGTCAGGGTTGTGCTGAGCTGGGTGCATAGCCACGGCCTACTGTCGCTCCAGAAGGAAGAGGAAGAGAATAAAAAGGAGNTGTGCTGAGCTGGGTGCATAGCCACGGCCTACTGTCGCTCCAGAAGGAAGAGGAAGAGAATAAAAAGGAGTTTTTAGCTCTTGTGTAGAAGAAGGAGAGAAAAAAGAAGAAAAAGAAGGACAGGCGTAGAGAGGAGGCTGCTGAGGCCGACCCGTAAGCCGGGCCTCTCCTGGTCGTGATTGTCTGCGCTTCATCTTCTTTTTGATGCAAAAACACTGAAAAAATACAGAAAATATATAAAAAACAAAACACAAACCGCTCAGAAACTCGCGGTGTTCACTTGGGGTGTATAGGCAGCTCGATGATTCGAGTGTCTAGGCAGCTCAACCGCTGCTGCACATCGCAGCACCAACTGCGGCTATTTGTGGCCGTTATTATTCTTTTTTTAGTTTAAAATAAATACAAATGCATGAAACTTTCATTTATTTTGTTGTTGATGTTTTTTATTTCTTTTTTCCTGCATTTCCACCCCCCATATGATGAGGGCTCGATGGCTGCGGCCGACGCCGGGCTTCGGGCTTCGACTGCTGCCGGGCTGNCCCCCCATATGATGAGGGCTCGATGGCTGCGGCCGACGCCGGGCTTCGGGCTTCGACTGCTGCCGGGCTGTAAGCGAGAGCCTCGATGAGTTTCTGCGGGAAATTTAAATAAATTAAATTATTTTTAAAAAAGAATTTCATAAATAAATACATTTTTAAACTCAATAAAAGAAATATTCCGCGTATTCCCTCTTATCCTCCTACGCTGGTGACGCATAGACCGCTGGAACTTGAATTTGTATAGATATATGAACAGCACCGCCGACGTTGCTGGGTGTGCAGCTTATTTTAATTATTACAAACAAAAAAAAACAAAATATTTTATTCTTTTCTTCTCTCTTTCTCAGTTTTTATGCTTTTCTTTCGTCTGCAGTCGATGCTGCTTGTGTCTCGTGCTTACCCTGAAAAAAAAAAAAAGCTGCAGCAGCGCCTGTGCTGCTGACTGCCGGGTGTACATACACCTCAGCTCGCGGGTAGAGTAAGCCAAAAAAAATAAAGAAGAAAGAGGATAAACGATGAATAATTTCTATTTATATTATAAAAGGAGATAAATATAATATAATATAATTTATTTTTATCAAAAAAACACAAATATTGCCGCAGTATACACCTGAATTCTGCTGTCTAGCTACACAACAAATTCAGGTGTATAGGCACCTCCTCAAGGAACTGCATCGCTAGCTATAGATATAAACAATAATAATAAAATAAAAATGAGATAAAGTAATAAAAATTAAATTAAAATATAATATTATTTATTATTATTAATAAATAATATAATAATATTTGTATATATATATATATATATATATATATATACATATATAAATATATATATATATGCATATATATATATATATCATATTACAGCTTTAAGCATCAACCCGTAGAAAATAACAACAAAGGAAAGATAAAAAAATGCGAATTCAACAAAACAACAAAATAAAAATAAAAACAAAAATAAAAATAAAATAATAACTAAAACTTTATTTATATTATAAATAAATTTAAGTTACTTTTATTAATTATGTTTATTAATTGTAAAAAAACAAAAAAAAATAGTTTTTATTATAAAAAAAATAATAAACTGAAGTTTCTATAAATCCTTACTAACGAAAAAAAACAATATAATATTATTATTATATAATAAATAAATAACAGTATAATATAAGTATTAAGTAGTAATCTAAAAAAAATAAAATATAATTATAATAAAATAAAAACAAAAAAATAATATATTTATATAATAAAAAAACAAACTAGTACAACAAATAATTATTTATATAAAAAAAGAAATAAATAAAAAAATCAAAGTCAAAAATTAAAAAAGAAAAACAAAAGTAGAGGCCGACAGCTCTGCGTTGTCAGCGCAGCAAAACAACATCATTTGGGGTGTATGTACACCTCAATATAGAAACAAATTTATTTCTTTTTATTTTATTTTATTTTATTTTGTTTTATTTTATTTTGTTTTCTTCCTTTTTTACTCTCTTTTCTATTTCCTAAAACACCCCATTTCTTTTATTATATCGGTTGTCTGCACGCTTATTTCATTGCTGCTGCTGCTGCTGCTGCTGCTGGTAGTTGTGCTGCTGCTGCTGCTGCTGCTGCTGCTGGAGCTGCTGCCTATAGAAAATCCATTCTTTACATTTACCCCCCCGATATCTGCTGCATTTAAACAGCTCAATGTCTGAAGGAAGCTGCTGCTGCTGCCCTCTGCTGCTGCTGCTGCTGCTGCTGCTGCAGCTGCTGCTGTTGTTGCTGTTGCTGCTGCTGCTGGCTTCTGTAGTTCTTCAAGGGCCTTTCTGATGGCAGCAGCAGGAGAGAACACCTGCTGCTGCTGCTGCTTGGGGGTTGACTTGCTGCTGAGGCGGGGCAGCTGCATCTCTTCGTCTGTGTATGGCGATACGATTGCTGTGCCTGCATCTCCTACTGCAGCAGCAGCAGCAGCAGCAGCGGCAGCAGCAGCAGTAGCAGCAACTGCTGCAGCAGCAGGACCCGCTGCTTCTGCGTCTTTAGCTGCTGCTGCAGCACTTTGTGCTGCAGCTGCTGCTCCTGCTGCAGCTGTTACAGCCTCTTCAGCAGCAGCTGCAGCAGCAACAGCAGCAACCGCAGCAACAGCAGCAACAGCAGCAGCAGCAGCAGGATTATCGTGATTCCTTGCCCAAGACATAAGCTGAGACGAAGCAGCAGCAATAGTTTTTTGTTTATTTATAAATGTTTTTATATTTTGTTTATAAGGACGAGAGAATTTGTTTGTTTCTTCTGTCTCTGTTTTCTCTTTTGTTTGCTTTTGCTTCCTCCTAGGCAACTCCGGCAGCAGCACAGTCTCTATACACCGCGCACCCTGCTGCTGCTGCTGCTGCTGCTGCTGCTGCTGCTGCTGCTGCTGGTGGTTAGCAGCAGCAGCAGGAGACAGACCGCTGAAGACACGCGCGAGGCCCCCCGATAGAATTCTTGCTGCCAGCAGATGCACGTGCTGCTGCCTTGGAACAGCAAAGCCTGGGGGGGGTCCCAGAGTGGAGGCGAAGCAGTCTGCTGCTGCTGCTGCTGCTGCTGCTGCTGATGCTGCTGCTTCTGCTACTGCGGTGGGCGAGGGTGCTGGTGCTGCAGCTGGTGGCGGTGTCGTGCTGCTACTGTTGGTACTGCTGCTGCTGCTGCTGCTGCTGCTGCTGCTGCTGCTGCTGC